CGTTGCCCTCCCTCCGCCCCCATGTGGGCTGAAAGGCCTGTGAAATCAGCTGGAAGGGCCCAGAGAGCTCAGACAATGGCGAAGGGTTGTTAGTTACATGCGCTTTGCAAAAGGTCTCGAGGTGGCCTTGTATGGTGGCGATACCCGGGGATCTGTTTCCAGTGTCCGAGGCCGCTATTGAGTTTCGCCCCCGCGGTTAATCCTGCTGTTCAGGACCTTGGGAAACAACCGTACCTCCCTCGCCCTCCTGTCCCTCCCCCTTGCAGATTCCCAGGAAAAACAAGACATCGCAGAACAATCGCCAATTAAGATGGTTCTTACATACTGTACCATTCAGTCCCCACTCTCTCCCCCGTCTCAATCTTTCTCCCCCACCTCCTCCCTATTTTTTTTTTTCCTCTCCTTACTCTCAGCTCTCTGTTTGTGTCCTCAGCCAACAAGCCCGAGGGTAGAATTAGCGCTGTCTCCCAGGTCCCGGCCCTGGCACTTTGGGAGGGTCGGGGTTTGGAGGCGTTGTGGGGAGGAGGAGGAGGAGGGTTGTGTGTCCTCGGTAAACAGGGCTTTGTGGGATGTGACTGTCTGATCCCCGGGGGCCTCTTCTCCTTTCATTCCTCCTGCAGTCTGATCCCACACCACGGCGCTGTACACCCGTTATCGCCCTCCTGGACCACTGACGCTCCGTTCTCCTGATGATGCATCTAAATTACCTCCACTCTAAATGATTTATTGAAGAGTCTTGCATGAGCAGATCAGTCAGTTTGCATTATGGATCAACCGTTAAATCTTTCTTTTCTCATTGTAAAACAACAAAAAAAAAAAGAAGCACCCCCTTCTCCTGCTAATTCCCATAGTTCATTCCAAATCATGTCTCCCTTTCTCCCTCTTCTTTTTTTTTAATAACATCTCAGTCTTTAATCAGACAGAGTTAGGCCATACCAGAGGCCCAGTGTTTCCACTCATTAGTTTTTCTCTGTGGCCCCGGGCTGCCTCTCCGGACTCGCCCAGACCAATAGAAGAAGCCCATAATGGTCCCTTAGAGTCTCCTCCGTCGGAAAAGGCTCTTCCCAAGTTTGCTGAATGTAGTCGGGCTGAATCATCAGTCAGTTTTTGGCACATACGTGGATGCCATTATCTGTACGTCTCTATCTTTGAGCCAAATAAAAGAGGGAGGAGAAAGAAAGAGGCTTGGCAACTTTTCACCTCCCAGTGAATGTTTCACCTCTTTTTACCCCCGTCTCCTTTTACCTCCTCTCCCACAGAGCCTTTCTCTCCATTGCCTTTCCTCCCCCCTCCTTCCTCCCGAGTTGCCTCTCATCATCCAGTTTTTTGAATTTATCTCCCATCTCTGGTTTATGTGTGTGTGTGTCTTTTTCTGTCTCTTTCTTTTCCTCTGTGGAGCTGAGGAATGTGTGCGCCGCAGATCCTCTGTCAGGGAGATGTGGGGCGAGTGCAGACAGGTTTGGGGTATATAGCATGTGAATCAGCCTCAGCGTACAGGTCAGATTATACCATCATACCAGAAAAGACTTGCTCTTTCTCTTACACCCCACTGATCTCCTGCCTTTGACATCTCAATCGCTAACTGGAAGCTCCGTTTCTTCGGTTGTCTGCGCTCTCTTTTTCTTTTCTTTTTTTTCCTTTTTGAAGATAAACCTTTCAAATCGTTCTGCCATTGATTGCCGGTGCAGTCAGGATCAGCGGCTGTTTATCAAACTCCTTCAGCTGCCTCATGATGTTTGCTGCTGGCTTTCACTCAGCTGTGCAGTCTTGTGAAGCCTCAGTCGGCGGCACCAGTTGTGACCTGTTCTTCCTCTGCCCTCCAGCTCTTTGATGCCTCGCCGCGTTGCTTTTGTCCCTGTTTACCCAATATGACAGGGATATGGGCCCTGCCCCACATGGGGGCAGATGGGGCTTTAAGTAGTTCCTGCAGAGAGGAAGCCAAAAAAGAAGTGCAGGTGCTAACCGCCCGGGAACTCGAATCCCTTTCCCTTCCCCGAGGGCGGCCTGTCAGTGTGTTTATTTTCTCCTGTGTCATCACCAGGAATCCCTCTTGTCCTACAAGGGGATAGATGGTTCTATTCCTGTGTCAGAGTCTTGTATTACTCCCCAGATAGATAAATAAAGGCGCTGCCCCTCGACAGAACATCTCTACTCAGGATTCCTCCGGAAGGGGAGCGTGACAGATGAAGTACAAAAAAACCCCACAGAAGACTGATGTGTTTTCTTGCTTTCACACTGTTAAGCCAGGTGTCAGTCAAACATTTCCCCAAACACACTCGGGTCAACCCCCACACCCGAAAAAATAGGAACTTTTCCACTTGAACTCGCTGACATCCACCTCATTTATTTTCATAAACTGTCCCTGCGTCTGTGTATCAACTTTCAACAGCGCTGAGTTGGTTTTTTCTTTCTTTTTTTTTTTTTTTTTTAATGCAAGACGTCTCTTCAATTTAGAGCCGGGCGATCGTGCCTTGAGAACGGCCACGCATCTACAACATAAGTGCAAAACCAGAGGGTAACACAAGATCAGATTTGGGATTGGAGGAAGAAATCTGGAACACAGATTTTTTTTTTCCCCTTTTAAGTTGTAAAGTCTGGAGTTTTTGAGAAGGAGAGCGGAGGAGTGAGGGAGTGGACCGGCCACAGGCTCTCAGGCTGATCAGACTTCATTTGACAGGGACTTCCCCCTTTGTCAATGGGCCACTCCAGCTTTTGTCTGGGCGTCTGCTCAGAGAGGAAGCGGGGCTTGCCTTTTTCCACGCAAGCCGGTGCGTTGCCAGCATCGGGACGAGTCTCTTGCGATGAGGGATACAAGATATCCTCGCGGTGTCTGTCTCCACTGAGATGGCTTTTCATGGTGGCGGATGTCAGAGGAAAGCCAAACAGATAAGAAGCAGGAATGATGCCCTTGTGTTTCCTCGTTGCGCCAGATCGATGCGCCAGATAGGCAGCTGTGTGTGTGTTTACAAAAGAGCATCCAGTCGGAACTTTGAGTGCCCAATGTTCTGGGACGACTATTCGATTAACCTAACCGGGAGAGAGTTAAGAAAAGGTGGACGGAAGGAGAAGGGGAAGCAGCTCCGGTTTCTCATGAGCCAACGGAGCCCTGCGTTGCATTGTTACAGCACTGTTGTTATTATTGTAATTATATATCATTATTCCGGCAGAGAGAGAAAAGATAGTTTCCACTGATGACATGGGGGCAGTGTGCAGGGCCTGTTGGAACTCGCGGGATGGAGAAACGCCAGCGTGCAAAGATGTGTGGTTTGATGTGCCTGAATGAGCATGCACACACTTAAAACGGAGGCTGAAATGCAAAGCGCACATGCACAAGTCAGAGTCAAGCGGCTCGATCGTCTTTACCAGCTTTTAATGTTGCTTTTAAGTGCCTTTTACGAAGTGTGTGAGTGAAGCGGAGGGCGCCGGCGGTGACCTTTAGGGGCTGGTCCAGGGCCACCAGACACCCGCTGGTTCATCCTCTCCCTCTGCTCCTCCCTCACCTTTGACCTCGGGGTGAGAAGGGGGCGTGAGCCAGGAGCTGGAAGAGTTTATTATTTCCTGCCACTTCTTCTTCTTCTTCTTTTTTCCTCCTCCTCCTCCTTTTCTCAGGATGCCCTCAGAGAGAGAGAAAGGTGAAGTGAATGGGAAGGAATACACAGACAACATGTGGAATTATCTGCAGTTTTGGCATTTTTAGTTTCAACATTGCAGTTAAACTCTAGCTTGATGTGATGTTTCTGTTTCAGGAACATGAGAACCTCCTGTTCTTGCAGGATGATGTTCAAAAATCAACACTATCTCTGCATAGCTGATGCTATAAAGCAGCACTGGCTGGACTTCAGATTTGCTGGATTTATGATAAAACTACAGTAGTACAGTAGCCTTTTCTCAGAGCAAGAGTTTTCCACTTCTGTGTTATTTTTCTGAAACCTCACAGTGAAAGCTTGACACATTAATTACGGCGTGTTGAGGAAAGCTGACTGAAATACGCTGCGATTACAAACGTACAGACTTTCTTCTGTGTCTTACAAACACATCATTATACTAATTACACGAATCGCTACAGATCCGCGTGTTTGCTTCTTGATTTAGTCGTTTTCTAGAGGCATAAGAAACGAGAAGATTTTGCTGATGGTGAGAATAAACGTTGGTACTCGAAGCTGTGGCTTGTCATTTTTCCTCTCGCCTGGAGAGGAGGCTAACCGGACTGACCTGCTCGATTGTGCAGCACATGAAACAGTGTTTAAGATGGAGAATGAGGGTTAGAAACCTGTTCGGCTCCACCGATCCCACCCAGGCACCGTGCGTTTAATTTGACCCACCCGTCAGCCTCGGTCGGTCCTTCCGCTAATGTCTGCGAGCCACCGAAGCCTCCAGTGTGAATATCGCAGCTGGACGGTCATTGTCCCTCCGGCCTCAGGCTCAAACCCTGGTTACCAACCAGGAACCTGGGATCAAAGCCTGCCCGGATTACTCTTAGTAAAAGGAGGAGGAGGTGCCGCACTGGGAGGGGGTCGGGTTGAAAAGGATAGAAGGAATGCTCCTAATTACGTGCCCTCCACTCCTTTTCTGTCTCTCCCTTTGGGTCTTCTCTTGTCTCCCCGTGTGTGTCTGGCCTGCACTTCAGGCTACAGTGAACCTATGAGGAAGCAACACAGTGTGACAAGAGAGTGATATTAAGAGCGAGGCGACAGTCTCTCCACAGCTACTCCATTAGCGGGAGAGCTCGGCGGCCCGGTGGGGGGAGAGAGGCTGGACATTCCTGCCTCTGTGGAGACACTGGAGTGGGTGAGGAGAGGGTGGGAGGCGGAGATCAAGGAGTGTGTAAAGAGGATGTGTCGTGAAGATTAGAAGGATTGTCGTTCAGGATTCATTTGGAAACTAATAGATTTTTTTTTTCCAGAGTTCTCCCTCCAGCTTGCTGTGCTGTTTTTATTTACTATCCGGGTTATTTCCACGCAGGGCTTCAGCTTGTTTCTGTTCTCGTCTGTGTGTCGCAGGTTTGCCGACCAAACGAGGGCGTCCGAACCGGGCATCACGGCCGCTGGCAGGGGTCAGAGTGCACCATGGACGGTGGCCTGAGGGTCCTCCTGTCCACTGTGCTGTGTCTCAGCCAGTCCCTGCTCATCAGCTGCTCATGTAAGTGGCCGTCCTGCTCTCGGCTCGCAGCTTGACCACAAATCACTGTTTTCGTGTGCATGTGTGGAAGGTGTGGCTCACGCTGCATTTATTCATGCAGGCTTTCATCAGTTTGCAGCAGCAGAATTTAAGTTCAAGAGATTTTATGTCACGTGCTCATACAGTATGGGCAGTGAAATGCAAAGTGACTACATAACTTTCAGAAACAGAAAAAACTGTAGAACATTTAAAAAAAATGAAGTCACATCATAAGTAGTAGAAGAAGAAACTCAGTGTACACTAACTACAGAAGGATATCGCAGGTAAAGGAACAGATATTTGAGATGTTTGAGGCCGAATCAGAGTAAAAATGAGGGGAAATATTCAGTGTGTTTTCATTAAGTGGCCATAAACACGACTAATTAAGACTATTGTTGCTCTGGATGTGTGATAGTTATGTTTTCCAGCTTGCTGAGGAATCTCTAGCTTTAGATTAGCCAAAAATATAAGTTGAAAGTATGAATTTGTGACCTTTAAGACTCCTTTGGTTATCAAAACAAGGTTTGGAAATTCAAGTAGAGACAAGAATGATAGTCGCAAGGATTTATAGACAGTGGGGTCTTTTGAATTCAAGCTTTATTTAAACTGACATTGAGGTAAGAAGGCCTCATTTATTGAACAATAAAGCTGAATAACAATAAAATATTAAAAGGAAAAGTTAGTGAAATAAGATAGTTAGTGCATTTAAGTTTTAAAAACAAATCAATTATAAAACAAGAACAGATGGAAGTAAAGTAGGATGTTTAAAGGTTAAAAATGAGTCGAGCTTTAGATTGTTTTCCTCCAGGCTGCAGGTTATAAAACAGCGAATAAAACTGGATTTTTCAAAGCTCAACAAAAACAGCCAACAAACTCCCTCTCAAAATCTAAAATGTTGCACCTTTAAAGGGTTAGTTCACTCAAAATACTCAAACCACTATATTTCAGGCCTCCCCTGGAGCAGTTTTAGTTTCATTTAGCCCGGGGTCATGTGCCTTTGAGTTGCAGTTGTATCAAGCAAGAATCTAAATGTGATTTGTGTTTCTCTGCTCCTTCTCCAGCTCAGTATCCCTCTTTCCGCTCTGAACCTGCCTCCTTGGTCCAGAGTCGAGGCTCCGTAGCCCGCCTGCGATGCTCGGCGAGTCCTCCGTCGGCGGTGGTTTCCTGGCGCTTCAGAGGCCTCCCCCTGGAGGCCGACACGCTGCCCGACGTGGAGCTCGGCCGGGGCTCCGTCACCATCTCCTCCCTGGCGTCCGTCCACGGCGGCGTCTACCAATGCGTTGCCCGCTTAGACGGCGGGCCGGCCGTCGCCAGCCGCCTCGCACGTGTGGCCATAGCAGGTACAGTCGCAGCGAAAGCACACTTCTGTTGCGCTCACTTCAAAGCAGAGCGTCGAAGAAAGAGAGGAAGTGGCCCTGAGAAAGCGGAAGGCCATTTTGCGAGTGTCGAGCGCTTAGAAAGAATGCCTATTCTCGGCTGGCTGCTGCTGAGCGGCCGAGGTGGAAGGAAGCAGTAGGAGTTTTTCACTCGGGCAGACTTCCAGATGCCTCTTGACCGGTATCCTTAATGAGCCTCGAGCTTTCCTGTGTGTACTCTGTTATGTTCCTGCTGGGATGCTGCTTGCTCTTGGACACTACGCTAAGAGTTTGACCCCGATCTGGAGCCGCGTCAGGCACGAATAGAATCGCTCGCTGCAACAATAAACAAAGCCGGCGATCCAACACAAACATCTCGACTCAAGTAGCTCCGATCGCTGATACTCACAACATGTTGAATGTCTCGCACTCTGCCCGGAGAACGAGCTTAACTGAGGGAGCCTTCTTTTCTTTTCTGGATCCATGCAGAAATATCAGAATACGAAGACGGCCGGCGGCGGTCGTTGTCGGCGCAGGAAGGCAGCACCGTCCTCATAGAGTGTCCTCTACCGCGCAGCGTCCCTGCAGCACTTCCTAGACTGAAAGTACGAGGGGACTGGATGGAAGCGTCCACAGGTACGTTGGAAATAACTGTGCATCCATTCGTCTATTGTCGTAGAGGCAGCAGGTGAAGCAGGTCATTCCATACGCCGCTTTCCCCAGCTATGCTTTCCGGTCCCTCCTAGGGAATCCAGAGGTGTTTCCAGGCCAGATGAGCTGCTAGGAATCCTGCTGGAGGGATTAAATATCTCATCTGGCCTGGGAACGCCACCTTTTTTGTGACTTTAACCTCATAACAAGCTATAGCTCACCAGTTGATATAAATGTGTGCTCTGCCTCCAAACTTTGGATTTCCAAAGATACTGAATACGTCAGACTAGATGTTGGTGAATGATTTACATGACATGCAGCATGATTTATTTGATGAATCAAAACAAACACATTGTGCATGATCCGTTGAAACATTGGTCATCAAAGAAGAAAAGAGCGAAACTTGATAAAAAGCTGTTGAAGTGTTTCTCTCATCACAACATAGATTTGATTTAAAAAAATCTGTCAACTCGTGATGAATAAAAGGATATTAAGGGGTTCAAGTAGATGATGCAGTTCTGTATATTTTCTTCTGCTTTACTGTTTATATCTCTTGTTGGTATTATTCCATTACAGTAAATGTTGGAAATCAAAGAGCAGCACTTGTTGATTCGCCAAAGTTCCCTTTTCATTGGATTATTTCAGCCATAGATTGGTTGTTTATTGAGTTTCCATGTTTAAATTTGTTTTCTTACTTATGGTGTAAGGCACACAAACTGTCTGGATACCGTTAAAGTTGTCGCTGAAATACTTTCCTTCTCTTTTCAGACGACTATTTAGTTCTTCCGTCTGGCAACCTCCAGATTGTCTCTGTTTCGGCCCAGCATCAGGGCATGTACAAGTGTGGTGCCGTCAACCCTGTTACCGGGGAAACCATCGTACAACCTCACGGTACTAAGCTGCTGGTCAAAAGTAAGTCAGATCATTTAAGGTTCTGAGGTTCTTTCGTGTATTTTCCATCAACGTCCCCTAACTTGGTTGTGTATTTGTGCAGATTCCGACCCGTCCTCCTCCTCCTCGGTGCGGATAGTTTATCCCACCTCCCCGGTGACGGTTTCCGTGCAGCAGTCGCAGCCGCTGACGTTGGAGTGCATCGTGTCCGGGAGTCCTGCGCCGACAGCGAGGTGGTTTAAGAACGGCAAAGAGGTCACACCGGGGCCTTCTCACCTACGACAGCACAACAACCTGGTGTTCGTTAAGGCGACGAGGAGCGATGAGGGGAGTTACACCTGCGCTGCTGAGAGCGGCAACGGGGCCGTGACCAGCGCCAACTATACTGTGAATGTTCTCGGTAGGAAAAGAGCCGAAAAGGAGGTGAAGTGGCATCACAGCTGGTATCATAGTGAGCTTAATGTTTTATCTTCTCCTCCACAGAGCCTGTTTCTGTCACGGAGGACCTCGGCAACCAGCTCGTCTCTCCCGGCTCCTCCGCTCAGTTTACTTGTGTAGCAAAAGGAAACCCTTCCCCGAACGTCACCTGGCTGTTCAACGCCGACCCCGTCGCCCCGTCGCACCGCGTCCGCATCTCTGGATCCTCGCTTGTCATTGCGGATGTGACGCGGCAGGATGAGGGAGTGTATCAGTGTCTGCTGGACAACGGGTTCAGCTCGGCGCAGTCGTCTGGGATGCTCACAACTCAGTCAGGTTTGTCTCATCCTGACTTGTTTGGGTTCATAGTGGAGCTCAACTCTGCCTAACTAAACACCACCAAACCTGTTGAGTGCTTTATTCTGCAACACTTGGAATAAATGATGGAAAGTAAAGACATATTTGGGTAGGAGACATCTTTCTCAGTTCATGTGTTTGGCAAAACTAAGAAGTTATTTTCATTAATCAGTTTAAAATCTTTTTCTGTCATTTTTTTAGTTTCTTAATTAAGGCTAATGTTGCTCTGGATGTGGTTGAGTTATGCTTTTCAGCCTCTTGATGGACTTCTAGCTTCAAATTAGCCAAAAATAAAACTTCAAATGACTAATATGTGATCTTTTAAGACTCCTTTGGCTGAAAGATGTGTCAGCCTCTCAGAACATGGTTTATAAAGTCAACGTGATAAGATTGACGGCCACATGGTTTGTAGATACTGGATCTTTTGAGTGTTTACATTACAGAAAGTGAATTCAGCCTTTAATAATAAAGTCAAGATATTTTTGGGCAGGCTCATGTTTGGCTAAATCCTTGTTTTCTTGAGTTAAGCAATTAAACTTTTAGTCTGTGAAATAAAATAGTGACATTTACAACAATGTTTAACGGAGAAAAGCAGAAAATCACGGGTTCGTACCGTAGACGGAGGCCTCGCAGGGACGACGAGATGCCAAAGTTGTAGAAAAGCCGCCGTCGTTGTCACACAAACCTCCTGGTAGTGTTGGAAAGGGTTAAGGCATCCCACCAGATGCCATCTCTGTGGGCCTGCGCATACAGTATCTGCAGGGAGTCGCTGCTTTGTGAGTGTAACTGTGCTTCTCTGAGGGCTGGTAGGGGAGGCTCGGCCAAGGCCGCCCTCCTCCTGAGCCTTGAACTGAGCCTGAGCGTGAGAGTGAGCTTTGTGCACACCGTCGGGGATAAGCCCCCGGACGCTGGAATGTAAGGAGTAGCCGTGGAGGGTTATGACGAGGACCAGACCACCCAGCTGTCAACATCATACACAACTGCCTTTTATTTATTAACACATCACAGCCCTCCTCCCTCCTCCTCCCTCCTCCACCCGTCTCCCCTCCTCCGTCCAAGCCTCCCCCCCCTCGCTTCTTCTCCTCAATCCCCAGACGCTCCAACGCCAAGGCCCCATTCCTCAGCCTGGCCCTGGATCTGCAGCGTGATTAATGCAGCTACATGGAGGGAGTACGAATCAGACGGGTTCACGGCGAGACATTTCCACAAACCGCAGGAAGAAAAACGAGAATTAATGTCTTTTGCTTCGGATCGCGTTTGAAAACAGAGCGTGAGGCTGATAAGCGGGACGTAAACAGCCTGCGGTCAGTTTGTGTTCGGCTTTCGTTCAGGTACCAGGCACAGGGAGCGTGTCGGACGCCCCAAACGGCATCATTGAACTTTGCAGGCTGTGATTATAATTCGTCACGATCTGAAATGTGTTTTTTGTTTGTTTCCATCACCATGACAACATCTCTCTTTCATCTGTTAACTGGGAGGGAGGATGTGGTGGGTTTTTTTTCCCCATCAACACAACAGCAATGCAAGACCTTTTTTTTTTTTTCACATCTTTAAAAAAAAAAAATCTAATAATTCAAACAACGATCTATATTTAAGGAGCTGTTTTCGTGCCCGGGCTGTCAGAAATATGAAAAATACACCCACAAGAGTCCTCCAACAAGCTCAGCTCCGTCCAAGCTGAGGCTCCTGTCGGTGCTGGTAATCCCTCGTGATTTACCGTCACATTTACTCCCAGGTGCTCCTCTCTAATGGACTGACCTTTTCCAGGAGGAGGACCTGGCGTCTCTGTCCAGGTGTAGCAGCACTTACTGGTCGCATATCACTCCTCTCCATCAGGATGCCGAAGTCTCCGTGTCCTTAATTGCCTCCTCGGTGTCGGTGTGTCGGAGCCGTGAGTCAGAGCTGCTGCAAGGAGAGTGTAGGATGAAGGGACGTAGCGCTGAGGTCTGATTCTCTCCGGTATTTTAATGGTTGGTGTGTGGAATGTGTGGCAGCTGGCCGCGGTCCCAGGATCGGGTCTAGTGTTACCAGCTCCAGGCCTGTTTGTTTTACAGAGGGAACCGGTGCCGCACACACCAAAAACAGGCCTGAAACTGGACCCAGGGCCCTGCCGAGCACCCCCGCGTCAGGCCGCGCCGCCTCAACCTCCTCGTTCACTTGTTTAGGTTTTAATATTCAGCTACGGTGCTGTTTGACCTCAGTGGTGTGGCTCAAAGTCGAGCGGCCTCAGCTCTGCCAAACCGGTGTCAGCCATAATAAGGCTCCCGGCTCGTATGATTTGCCCAGGTGGAGCGCTCTGGCTCCGGCAGGGAGCCCATGAAAAAAAAAACACAAAGTGTGATTTGATGAAGTGCTGCAGAGATCCAGGCTGTTCTTGTTGTTTTATGTAGATTAAAATGCTGCTCGCAAATGGAAAACTTTGCTGCACCGGCTGTCCTCTGTGCACATGTTACCCAGTGAGTAACATTGTGGTCGTGTTGCTTCAGCTTCTATTACGTCGAGTTTTCACCAGTGACGGGTTCCCAAAACTCAGCATAGATCCAGGCTCCTACGGAAGAAACTGTAAAATGTATTTTGGCACATAAGGTAGTTTGTTAATGGTAAAATCAAGTGTTCTTGCAGTGTTTGTGATGATTCATCTGTTACGTATGTAGCACTCGAATGAAAACACTATTTATGATGTAACATGCATTAGAACTAAAATCTAATTGGTCGTGATGCTCAAAATATATTATATTTATTTGCATAATGCCCAAACTTATGTGGTTTTCTGAAGCCACAACTGAAATGTTAAAACATCTCTAAAAGTGCTTCTGTCCTATTATAGAAATCTTAAATCAACCTCTGTTTACATTTAGAGAAAGTTACATCAAAATTCGGATGTTTGCTTTAAATATGTCGACGTTTTTAGGAGCATACGACCACAGTGTGTTATATTCTGGGCTTTTTTTTTGCTCCCATCACATTTTTAGTCACTGTGGGCTCATTGTTCACTGCAACGTAAAGTCCTGCACCTCTATGGAAACGGCTCGACCGTGGCTAGAAATAACTCAAAAATGTCGTATAACTCAGTTTATATACCATAAATTATAAAAAGACTTACAAGAATTCAATCAGTGTACAGTTTTCAAAATAGCCACTGGTTTTAACAATACTGGGAGGAAAAAAAATGGGGACTCCACATCACATAGAGGCATTTTGTTTCACAACCTCTACAGACTAGACGTTTATCACACATCAGCTCTAGAAGGATGCTTCACCATGCTGACGGTGTCTTCTGATAAATTACTCATGGCTTCAAAAATGTTTTACAGATATTTTATTTGTTTGTTTTTGTTTTTACAGTGGCTGGTGCAAAGGGTTTAGTTTGGCTTACTTTGGTAATTTTTAATTAGACATTATTTAAGCTTATTTTTGTTTATTTTTCTAGACAGAACCAGACATCGAACATGACATGTTTAAGGACCATCTGAAAGATAAAAATCTGATCATTTTTTCAGTTTTCCTGTTTTTTTTCTTGGCTCTGATAAATGATGTAATTTTTGGCAATTTCTTAAAGAAATCTTGTCTTTTTGCTGACCTGCTGTGAGGTTTTGGGTTTCAAAGGGTTCATATATCAAAGGTGCTAAACAAGCATGTTGGTTGATTTTTTTTTTACTCTTGTCTAACTGATCCTACTTTCTATTTGAATAATCTTTTGCTGTTTCTCACTAACAGATCCACAGCTGGGCCCCACGGCCGGCGTGCTGCTGGAGGCGTCGCCGTCGCTCCACCCCATCCAGAGCGACGAGGGCCACGGGCGCTTCCTCACCGAAGAGGAAGGCGACGCCGCGAACGTGCCGGCCGACCGGAGCAGCGACCATCCGACTCCAGAGGCGCCGATCATCATCAGCCCGCCTCAGACTCACAAACCCGACGTGTACGACCTGGAGTGGAGGGCGGGGCGAGACGGCGGCAGCCCCATAAACGCCTACTTTGTGAAATATCGCAAGGTGAGTAAAAATACACGCTGGCAGGGTTTGTTCCTTCACCACAAGAACCTTTCGCTGAGAACCAGCGAATGTGATTTATACTGACTGAAAAGTTGGTCATTTCCTCTTTAAAACCCAGTGTTTGCTTCAGTAATCACCTCACTCTGACTATAAAACTGCAGCGATACAAGTTAAGGCCCCGTTGGCAGCCGGACTCGGCCGGAGTTGGAAATTGTGACAGAAGTCTCCCAGGCATTGTTTCTTCCGTGCGGCCTTCGGAAAGAGCCTGAACCGTGGAGCTGTTGCCGAGCGGAACAGATGACTTTTGTTTTGCTGTCTTTGTCATGTTCCGTCACGTGTTTGTCTTTTGTCAGGTCGACGAAATGGGAACGGTGGTGGGAAGCTGGCACACGGTTCGCGTCCCTGGCAGCGAGAAGACCCTGCGGCTGTCGGAGCTCGAGCCCTCGAGTCTCTACGAGGTGCTGATGGTGGCCCGGAGTTCAGCCGGCGAGGGTCAGCCGGCCATGCTCACCTTCCGCACCGGCAAGGGTCAGTCCAACCGCAGACATCGCGAAGAAAAACCACCTAAATACTCGCGAAACCCTCAAATTCCTGCGTATATTAGCCTTTTAAGTGCTTCTCGTCGTGTTCCCGGGAATAACCGACCGCTGGAGGACACCACGTCACCCTCTTTTCCACCACATTTACGGCAGAAAAGAGGAAATTTCTCAGCTGCCTAAAACATCAACAGTAAATCTCAGTTTAAGAGTCTTTTTCTTCGTTTCTGGACTCGACATTTTCGCAGACATTCAGCTGATATTAGAATAAAATAGAAATACTTTATTAATCCTTGATGGGAAATTCAGTTGTTGCAGCAAAAAGAGTGAAGTTACCTCCACCATGAAGACAGATAAACAAGCAAATGATATGCAGAAAGTAAAAGTAAACAATAAGAAAATATAAAATGCTAAAATTCAGGATGAAATTTATGAGAAGAAGCAGAAACGTGCATCTTTTTCTTCACAGATAGGAGCAGAAAAACATGCCAAGTGCAGATTTTTATGACGAATCACATTATGTAGGTGACAAAATGTGTTTCAGTGAACTAAAGGAGAATAAATCATCATCTCCAGCCACACACTCTATCTGATGGTAGATTATCCCCAGAAATAACTACTTCCACCAAATTACACTCCTACATGCAGTCATAATGATCAGTATCGGTCGTAGTAAATGACTGTGAGCGACCTTTTTTTCTTTGTGTGTGTTTTTGAGACAAATAAAAATAAAAAAATGGCCGCAAATGTCCCCAAAAACACTAACAATAGAGCTGTACCACAGTAGTGTTGACAAAATGTTCCCCCGGCCAGAAATATGTATAAACCGCAGCCAAAACCGCGGATATGATTGTATCCCGAGGGTGGTTGTTTTACAAAATGGTCCTGGACCAAAAAACATGCCAACCGGTCCAGAAAAATCAGGCTCTCATGTCCAGATGTGGCTCCAAATTGCACCAGAACAGCACCACCTCTCCGAGAAATAAAAAAAGGAACACGTGTTTTATGTGTAAACCGTTGAATTTAAGTGTTCTCTGTAAAACTGTACCTCCTCTTCCTGCAGCCAGGAATATAATTCTGGTGGAAAAATAAGAAATACATTTCAGACAGTCCACTGAATATATATGCACATACAAAGTCCAAAATAAGCCATTAAAAATCATAAATTAACCTGAAATAATAGGATTTTTGCATCCTTAGTGGTAGCTGCAGTGCTGTTCAGCAAAATTTAGAGTGTATTGCTGTTTTATTTTTGTTAATCAAGTCAAATCAGAGGTTTTCAAGCAAATATTTGTGTGCCAAAGTGCTTCCCAGTTTAAAAAAAGGACTAAGATTGGTGCTACAAATTAACCTAACAAGTTAAAATATGGGGGTTAAGACCCTGTAGTGGTATTTATGGTGTGATTTTACCTTAGTAGTGTGCATTTTAGGAACTAAAACCCTTCAAAAAGCATGCAAATTATTGTAATAATAGAGCTAAGACCCTTTAATGTTATGAATTAAGATAGTTCAATGCAATTTAAATGAGCTTAAATTGGATATACACTCAATTAAGCAACTAAACAGCTCAGTTGTAGCTTTAGATTTGCCAGTTTGAGTAAATTTCACCAATCTGAAGCAACTTAGGGCCTTGTTTTCTGACTTCCTGCTTCTCCCTCTCTCAGAAAAAAGCACCTCCTCCAACAAGAATCCGTCCAAGCCTCCCGTCGTCTCGATGCCACCCAAAGCTCCCGAGGACAAAACCCCCAACACCCACTTCGGAGTCGTCATACACGACAGGGGTAGGTGTGCGCACAATCGTCGACTGTTGCCGCAGCCCGCCGCAGTGGAATGTTTCTGAGGAAATTATGGGTCTTTCTGTCGCGTACGCAGTCGGTGTGGAGTTCATGACCGGGCTGCGCCGCGCAGATCGGTGCTTAGATGTGGTCTGCTTTGTTTCTTTGTGCGTCGGAGTACAAACAGTGACACGATAGCTGACACCCTGTAATGACTCGCTGGAAGAAAGATGCTGTAAGCAGAAAGCTGTGAGATTGCGCACAGCTTCGGGGTCAGAGACTGTGCGCACATGCTTGAGCTGCGTTACAAACAGACCTACTTTGCTGTCAGTCTTTTCACTAACCCCTCTTTTCTCTCTTACTCTCTCCTGCTCGCTCTAACTTTGTGATTAAGGGCCCAGGCAGTAAGTATATACATCCCTCCATGGCTTCTCTGTGATGTGCCTTCTTTCCTTTTTTTTCTTTCCTTGTGAAGATGAATCCAATGTCAGCCGCCCCTCTTTTTCATACTTTTTATTGTTCTCTGCGTGCTTTTAATTGAATGCCTGCGAAGTTCATTCCATATTTCTTCCCGTCTCAGTCCCCGAGGCCCCCGATCGCCCCACCATCTCCATGGCGACCGAGAGTTCGGCATACGTCACCTGGATCCCGAGAGCCAACGGCGGCTCTCCGATCACGGCTTTCCGGGTGGAGTACAAGCGCGGCCGCAGTGCCGAGTGGGTGGTGGCGGCGGATAACATCTCACCTCTGAAGCTGTCCGTGGAAGTTCGCAATCTGGAGCCTGGTGAGTTTTCACTCACTTTGCTGTGTGATCCGGTGAACGGAAACAAGATTCCTCTCCATCGCTTTCCCACACAGGAATTTCTAAAAGATCGCCAGACATTATGTGATTAGTTTTAAAAGCTGGCTAACCTCTCCTTTGTTTATTTTTCTTACACCAGACAAATGTTTTACTATTGCATACAAGAGTGAATCATTCGCTGAGCCAACACTTGACTCTGTCACTGATAATGATGCAGATCCTCTGGACCCCGAGCAGCTTTATTTTTACTTACCGTGGAGTCATTTTTACTGCATCTTAAAGTCCAATGGAATCAGCACAGCGATGGCTAGAAGGAGATAGATATTTTTTTTATATTTAAAATGTTAAAAGAAAACTTGAATCAACATGTACAACATTTTTCCAAGCCCCCATAGATTTTTACCAGGAGTAGACAAAAATTTGGTGGCTCTTCATACTGTGGATATTCTATGATTTACATTTCTGATTTCTTTTCATAGCAGTCGCCTATCTGCTCTGTGTAAACACTGCCTGCAGTTCAGCCCAGTCGCTTAAAGGTCCCTCCATTTTTGTGACATGACTCTGGCTCACAGCTGAGCTTCTCAGTTGTGCAGAATTTCTTTTTTTTTAGAGGCTTGTTAGTGCAAACTTTTTGTTTTTTGCATTTATATGAATGAGCCATGTGGGGTTTTTAATGAAATATCACAATTTTAGGATAAGATTTTGCAAAGTTTTCCAACTGAACAACATGTCACAGATGAGTAGTTTAAAATTCAATAATTCTTTTTGTTTATAAAGTTTCTAGCTCTGATAAATTGTCATTTTGGCAGTTTTTTAAAAGATAACACGCCTTTTAAACCACACAGACGGGTTTTGCAGTTCAGAGGATTAAACATCTTTTCTTAGTTTATATTGGGTGTATGTGTTATTTGCCAACAATTAATTTAAAGACCCTATATTATGCACAATTATAGGTTTATACTATATTTTGGGGTCTACTAGAGTATGTTTACATGCTTTAAAATTCAACATTTTTGTCATAATGTACATTGCTGCAGCATCTTTTCCAGTCTTTAGTTTAAAAAAAAAAGTCCAGTCTGTTCTGATTGATCAGCTGGAATGATGAAAGCAAGTAGACAGCGATCATTTACCGTAATCACATATCAGTGGGTGTAGGGATGTAGGTGTAGAGGGCCAAAGTAGATGCTAGTCAGGCGTTACGCAGATGTGTTACATGGTGATGTCGATACGTAACGGGAATAAAGCTTGGACTTCAAACAGTGCGTCTCAGACAGATGAGGAGAAATGTTTTCTGTGGGAGAAAGTAACTCCCTTTGATCTAAACCTTTGACTTTGTAAGCTTGCGTATGTTTCAAGTGCACAGAAATGACACTAATTAAAAGAGGAAAAACCCCAAAACGCATAATATGGGCTCTTTAAAAAGATGCAGAAAGTTGTTGGTAATGCATCAAAGTGTGCAGCTTGGTTACCGTCTCTGTATAAAGCAGATAAAGTGTTGATGAGACCAGACATAAAATCAAATAAATAGAGATGTTTGGTTGAAGAGAATCGTATTTAATGTCTATAGGAAACAGCAACAAGGGTTGGTTTACTCTTAAACTACTCAAAAAGAGTTAAATAATAAAACAGATGAAACACGGAAGCAGAACTCAATAAATGGATGGAATGTTTTCTACTGACTGTATCCAGCACCACTGTACTGTAACACTGCTCCTCTCTTCATGTTCCTCTCTCAGGATCCGCCTACAAGTTCCGTGTGATGGCCATGAACATGTACGGCCCGAGTCCTCACAGCATCCCCTCCAAGCCCTACCAGGTTCCTCAGGCCAGCCCTCGCATCGCCAACCGCCCCGTGGTCGGACCTCACATCTTGTCCACCGACGCCATCAGCGACACGCAGATCATGCTGCGCTGGAATGTGAGTTTAACCAAGCAGTCGGAGGATCGCTTGGGTTTTAAATAAACTTAGTGGAGTTTTAACAACTGAGTTAAACAGGAAAATGACTAAACCGGCTGTTGAGAGGCAGGAGTTTGATCTGTTGTAGTTTTCTTGCACAATAATGGATTAATACCAACATTTCACTGGTTTAAAACCTTGTTTGATCATCTGGCTGCTGGTGTTTCATTCATTTTTTGTGTCATTTCTGTGCAAATGCATAATAATCCTACTTTCTTTTTTGTGTTTTATAATCACGACACTTGATTGTCATTGTGCAGGGCTGCAACTAAGTAATGTTTGCTTTGTTCTTGGTTGTTTGGTTCGTTGTTTGGTCTCAAAAATGTTGAAAAGTGGCGATAAGTGTTCACCAAATCAGAAGTTAACGTCCTCCAATCAAGTTAGATTCATTTTACTGTCATAGAGGAGGAAAGACACGAGTAAATGTTGACATTTAAGAAGCTGGAATCAAACTGTTTTTGTCCTAAATACTTAAAGATTAAAAATCTAAATAGTTGACAGCTAATTGATTATTCAGTTGATCTTGCGGCTCTATTGCTGTTTTGCAAAATGAATTAAATGGTGGAAAAAGCAGAGGAAACATGCAAGTACAGCACACATAAATCAGAAGCAGCGTAACTTCCTGGCCCAGCGTTCGACCTTCCAGTGTGCGATGTTTGCATCCGGCTCACCTGCGATCGAGCTGCTGCTGCTTCTCTTGCAGCCAAGACTCAAATCAGACCTTTAATTGAGCTCCTGCGCTGATTACAGCTCTGCAGGATGAGAGTCCGTCTGCGTTTTGATTCCCGCCGCCTTCAAAGCCGCCCCTTCTTCCTCGCAGCAGTTTGAGCTGCAGATGGACGCAGATAGTTCCCCACATTTACTTAACCTCAGACTCATTATTTCCTGAACTTCAGACACACGGCGCAATCACCATCTAGCTCGCAGTCGTGTACATCTGCCGATAACAAGACCCCGCCATTAGTTGCTGGAAAATTTCCTCTCTTTGTATCATAATTGCCCACCAGATTGCTGTAGTCTAATCTTTTTTTTCTTTTTTCCATCCCCTTCCAGTACAGTCCCTCGAGTAACAACAACACCCCGATCCAGGGTTTCTACATCTGCTACCGGCCCACGGACAGCGACGACGACAGCGACTACAAAAAAGACATAGTGGAAGGTAAGGAGCTCATTTTAAACGCCTGCAGATGGAGCGCCGAGTGTTTGTCGACAGCCTCGTCCTGTCGTGGACGTAAGCTCACGCTGTGCAGATAAACTGGGAGCTGGGGCCGTAATGGATACTCGGGGTGAAGTGAAGAGGGGCATTTCTGCCCTTTGATTTATAGCGAGCGCTCTCCCCGGCCAGCAGGCCTTTCTGAAATCTGTTTTTAATAAATGGTTGCCAGCTAATGGGCCCAGAGCTGTAACACGAGCCCGGCCGGAGGAGAGCGGCTCAGGTTGCCGGCTGGAATGCTAACAGTTGAGCCTGGTACAGGAAGAGAAGGAGGGGCGTCCGATCACTCCACCCAACGCTTCAGCGTCTGAGCTCCTCAGACTCCTCACCGTCGGGGACAAATGTCGGGCTCCTGGAGGCTGATAATTTAGAGATGTGCGAGTTGTTAGTGTTAAATTCTGTCAAAAAAGTGAAGGGTTTTAGATGTTGTGGCCGCAGAGGACAGTTTCTGAGATTTCAAAATAAAGTTCTGACCAGTCATCACTTCATACTGTGCTTTGCTATCTGTGCAATATAGATAAAAATCAGTATTTCTACTCATGATAGCATCTGTGCACTACCATTGCAATACTGTACATATGAAAGAGCCACTGTTTCTGTATATTTATTAGTTTATTTGTTATATTTATGTTTGCAAAATCCCCTTTTGCTGCTGTGACACTACAGATATCCTTACTCTTGGATTATTAAAGGCTTAATGTATCATATATGCTGCTGAAAAAGCATTAATATGTAAAACAGACATATAAAAACTCATCATCTAGTCCAGTGTTACAGCTTCTTACCATGTAAGATATAACTTTGGCACTTCTGGTGTCAAATAAGACGCAGATTGCACCAATATTTACAAGAATTATTTCATTTTTTCTCCTCAAAAGCCAAAAGAATTGTCAAAATAATCCCCTTACTTCAGTTGAGGACCTATATTGTGCTTTTTGTGGATGCTATACTTGACGGAATATACTTTTTTTACGCAAAAGAAGAAGTTATAGCAGCAGAAATTCTGTAAATATGACAAAGCTGTCAAACTGACGCATCTGACAAGCTACTAATTGTTCAGTTTTAGCACTGAGCAGTTTTTGATGCATTCAAAATCTAACTTTGGCACTTGTACTATTAAATAAGTCGCTCACTGTACTAATATTTACCATGATTATTTATTTTTTCTCCTGAAATGTCCTGATATTGTCAACATGATCCCTTAATTTCAGCAGAGAACCAGTTTGATACTTATTGTAGCCACCATACTTGTAGGAATATAAACTTTCTCTGCAGCTTTCTTTTCTGTTTTTATTCATTTTTTAATTCAAGTTTCCAAATACACAAGTTATAGACAAAACTGACAAACTACTAACTTCTACATTTTGTCACTGAGCAGTTTTTTTTTTTTTTTTTTTTACTTCTGAGGGAAAGAAAAGTTTCAGTCAGTGTTGAAACTGCATTTTAAAGATCTCTGATTGACCACAAACTTCTACCTCTGGTGCTGAGTTTGTTAACTTTAGCTGCAGGTTTCTTTCATTTCTTTTTTTTTTTTTCTTCGCTTACACGTTTTAAAATCTCTGGTGCGGAGGCGTCGGACGTGCGCGCTGATTTATTGTTCTTCGTATTAAACGAAACGCAGCACGAAACAGCCGCTTATTTCAGCCTCATTTGCTGGAAATGTAGCATTTCCACGTTGGAGGCTGTCGTCTCATCTGTGATTTCAGAGCGCCGCGTTAGTGTGTCGGAGTGGGAATACTGGAGCGGAGCCAGGACAAACATGAAGCTGCCATATATGGAGCTCGACTAGAGTAAAGCAACTGTCTGGGCCCTCGTGGGACCGACGGAGAAAGAGACGAGGAAGGGGGGGGAATGAAAGAACACGACCTCCTGGAAAAAAAAAAGTGTGAGACACAAGGAGAAGGATGATAAGAAAGGAAACACTGACTGGTTGTGAGTTTACACAGGATCTGGAGCAACGTGAGCCTTGCAGAGGAGGTGATTTCTCACCTTTGTCCCCCTTTTTTTTTATTATTTGCCTTCTCAGGTGGAAAAAACTGGCACATGATTGGATACCTCCAGCCCGAGACCTCCTACGACATCAAGATGCAGTGCTTTAACGACGGTGGAGAGAGCGAGTACAGTAACGTCATGATCTGCGAGACCAGAGGTGAGAAAAGATGACTCACTCGAACCTCTGCTTTTACCCAGGCGTGTTTCTGCGAAGCCTGTAATTTTAATGATCGCCAAAATTACACAACATAAATGTGCAGAGTTTTTACGAGGGCAGCAACAATGGCTCGCGTTTTATAGTCTGCTTGGTGCCGTGTTATTTGTCTTTTGATGCGAATCCTCCTCCTCCGTCTCTGCTGCAGCACGTCAGGCTCCGGGGTCGCCCAGCCAGCACCCCATCACCCCGTCGGGCCCCCATCCCCAGGAGCCCCCCAGCCCCCCTGGAGGTCTCCTGTACCTGATCGTGGGCTGCGTTCTGGGTGTCATGGTGCTCATCCTGCTGGCTTTCATCGCCATGTGTCTGTGGAGGAACCGCCAGCAGAACAACATGCACAGTGAGTTCATCTCTGCTGCAGCTGCTGCCTGAACTGTGAGAGTTCGTGTCTAAAAAGTTGTGCGCGCTCTCTCTCGAGTTTGCAGCACAAGAGTTAACTCGGTTCGGGCGGCCTCATTTTTAAAGTTAGTTGGCCCCGGGACAGCTTATGAAGCATATTCCAAGTGTTCGTTCCAAGTGCATATACGGATCCCACGGCGCTCGCAAAAGCGCTGGCCATTGTTCGCCGGACTTTTTTACCAGACCGTTTGGGTCTGTGAATAGCTGGAGTTTTGCAATTTAAAGATTTTAAAGAAAAGCTGAGACTCACACAGGTGCCCACTTTCTCTGTGGATGAGGCTCATAAATAATTCACTGGAGTTAAATCGAACAAGAGGGTTTGAAATTCATATAACAGGGACATTATGATACCTGAGACCTGGTCCTGACGCCTACCTTCTTACTCAGTGGCCAGTGTTGGGGACTTCTTGCATGAATTTCTTGAAATGAAAAAAAACAACAACTTTTGTTTAACCCTCTAAATCCCAAGCAGTTTCTGTTTGTGTCACATTTTTACTCACCTTGGGTTCATTTTTCACTGTAATGTAAAGTCCTGCACCTCTGTAGAAAAAGGACAACCATGACTAGAAGTACTCTGAGAGGTGAAAAACAAAATGGGGGCTCCACATGCTATCGATATTTACCTATTTTCAGTTTTTAAACTATTTTGAATGTATTTCCATACATGTCTGCAGTCTCTTCTACGTAAACACTGCCTGCAGTTCAACCTAGTTCAGCCTAAAAGGCCCAGAATTTTTGTTGCGTGCCTGTTGGTGGCAGCTGAGTCACTAATAGCTTCCTGGTCACGCAGAAGTTCACAGAATTTTTTGTTTTTTACAGAACCTGATTAATGCCAGTGCTTTATTTTAGGTGAATTTTCCAAATGGCACATGCAGAATAAAAGTCATTTTAGTCTTTGTCACGTGGCTTTTGTTCAGTCATGGCTTCCCAGTTATACAGAGGAGGGTAGAATTTACTCTTTTTATAGAATCTAGTTGGAATAAAGTGTTTATGTTTCGCAGTATTTTAAATGAGAGTTGCGGAATAATGTGATTTTAGGTTACAGCTGAGTAGTTTGAGGACTGTTGGAAAGAAAAACTTTTTGTTTTGACAGTTTCTGGCTCTAATAAATTGTGTAATTTTGGCTATTTGTGAAAATTGATGTGCCTTTCAAAGCTGCTGGTGGGTTTAGGAGTTTAGGGGGTTAACAAAAACATCAAACATAACAGTATATATATATCATATTTATCTTGACACGATCAGCCAACAGTCCAAAATTATTACAGAAATCACACAGGATTGGAAAAAGTTTATAAGCAGTATTAAGGCCGACAAAACTTGTGACAAACTTTTGGCCAATTTTTTAGAAAGTATTGTGGTTTGCATTGAGCTGAGTCAATAACTGCTGTTTGCCATGAATGCCTTTAAACACTAAACCAGCTCAGACTCTCACGCTGGTCTCCGTCTGTGTCCGTCCCTGCAGAGTACGACCCTCCCGGCTACCTGTACCAGCCGGCGGAGATGAACGGCCACATGCTGGAGTACACCACGCTGCCCGGCACCAGCCGCATCAACGGGGGCATCCACGGCGGCTACGGCCACGGCGGCCAGATGCTCCCCCAGGGCTGCCACCACCTCCACCACAAGCTCCCCAACGGCTTGGCGCTGCTCAACGGCTCCGGCGGCCTGTTCTCACCTGGCCACCCACACGGCCACGATGGCACGCTGCCCCACGGCGCCCGCGACTGCGAACACTCGCACCCTCACCACCACCATAACGTGAGCCTCGACGCTGAGCTTCGTCCGCGCTGTGCAAATATTAAATGAGGTGTTTCCTCACAGTTTGGCTAAATCTTTGCGCTCTTTTTTCCTCAGGGTGGAGGCATGTACACAGCGCTGCCACAAACGGAGTCTTCTGACTGTATGAGCTGTCAGAACCTCTGCAACAACAACAGGTATGAGAATATAACGACCGTTTCTTTATAGCGTATAGGTTATTTTGGATTGCTTGTTTCTGTTTTCTATTTAGAAAGTCTTTGAATGTGTTGTCAAGTATGAAAAAAAGTCTGTGGAATGATCACATGTGTCAGTTTATGTGCTGTAAAACCACAATGATCGGTGTCTCCGGCAGCAGGGGGCAAAAAAAAGAAATAAAATCCAGGTGAAAGCAGCGTGCGTCTTAATTTTCTGGTGGAAAACAATAAAAAAAAAAAGAAGATGGATATTGCAAAGAAAAGCTGGACTGAGAATATTAGATTTTCCTCGTTACTGTAAGTTGCGGCGGTGCTTTGGAGCCCCCTGTGAGGCCCAAACACACACATTTGCCCTCCTGCTAGTCCTGTTTATGTACTTAAGGGTCCCCAGCATCACAGTTTACCCTGTGTGCACCCAGCCAGCAGACCTAATGAGCCCAGTGTTTATTTACCTCCGGCTGCTGGGAAAAGAGGGGGTGTGGCCGCAGAATTCAATCGTGGCCCGACGGAGGGAAGCGAAGAGGGGAAGCAGCGGAGAAGCTGCGCTGCGTGCAACTGTCTGTTTTTGGGAGTTTCGCTGAGGAGCAAAACCACAATGTGTCACAGTCACTTAGAGGCTGCGAGAGTGGACCTTTAATCTCTGGTCTGCAGCTGCACACGAGAGCTGCAGTTGTGTTAGAGCTGTCATTGTTTAGTACACTGTTAGTATTAACGCAAGGGTTCTCCGGGTCTGGTGGGAAAGCCACAGAGAGGAAGGAGCAGGGCGGCGCGTGGGTGAGCTCTCGGCAGCGCACGGACGCCTCATAAACGAACTTCTTTCCGTCTCCGTGTCTGAGCAGATGTTACAACAAGACCAACGGCACCTTCTCCAGCGGCACTCTGCCCCTAATGCATCGCGTGGCGCCGTGCCAGCAGGACGGGCTGGAGATGGTTCCTCTGGGCCAGGTTTCGTCGCCGTGCCGCGGCACCGACGGCCAGATGCGTCCCGGCGAGCAGGAGGAGCACAGGGGGTCGTCGCCCTCGCAGCATTCCTGCTGTCTGATCAGGAACAGCCAAAACTCTCCAGCAGACGACACTGGTGAGACACATGTTTGTAACAAATGCCCACAAACTTTTTTTTTTCTAAGTGCTTTGTCCCTTTGTGTTCCCACCATAACCACAGGAAACTACAACTTCTTAGAGCCCTGTTGTCCCCGATTATGCAATAATACTTCACACTATTGATCCTTGGGTTTGGTTTTTCACAGAAGGATCACCTCTTTTAGAGCGACATGAGCTGTATTTTTGTCTCATGTAATTCTAAGTTCGGACAGCTGAAGGAATATTTTAACATATTTGCTTATTTGTTGAGAGTTACATGAGAAGATTGGTGCCACTGTCATGCTTCACCAAGCATGAAACCTGAAAGACTTAACCTCTGAACCTGAAAACCCACAAGGTTTGAACGGCATGTTATTGAAAAAATAATGAAATTGAAATTACATCATTTATCAGAGCCAGAAACTGTAAAATCGGAAAAAAATCTTCTTAGCTTTCTCACAGTCCTTGATCTAATCTTATGTGACATGTGGTTCCATCGGAGAAACTGCTTAAAATTGCAATCGCTCATCAAATTCACTTTATTCTACTTGTCTCGTTTAATAAATGGCCAAAAACACAAACTGTTTGTTCTAGCCAGATTCTGTAAAAAACAAAAAAATCTGCAAATCTTCATGCAACTGTGAAGCCATCAGTGACTCTGCTGTTACCAATAGTCAAATAATAAAAAATCAGGGACTTTTTGGGATGAAATGCAGCCTGAAGACAAAGATGGAGACTAAAAATGTAAGGAGCAAAAAATCTATAATATGGAGAGCCACATTTTTTGCAGTGTTGGTGATCCATGATGGCACTTTTTCAGTATTTTATAGAATAAATAATCAATATTAAATCATCAATTCAGCTTTTGTTTTTTCTTTATTGAAATTTTTTTTTTTGACATCTCTAGCCAGGGTCGTGCTGTTTCCATAGTAAAGCAGCACTTTATGTTGCAGTGAGTAAAAATGTGAAAGGAGCAGGAGTTCAGAGGGTTAAATAAAGTCCATCATATGAACCCCAAACCTGCATCTTACCAGCTTCCCGACCTGCTGCTGGTAGCTTCATCTATTTATTTATTTTTTTTGCAACTTTCATATCCAGCCAGAAAACCAGTTTCCTTTTCTTTTCTTTTTTTTCCAGCCTTCGTGGGAAAAGTATGAGTTGTTTTGATCTTTCCCTCTAACAAGACAGAAAGTGAATAAGCCCATTTCCCAAAATATCAACCCAAATGTTAAGTGAGAACATTTGCTTCCAGACAGTCATGGCTCAGCCCTATTGTTAAACTGAGCTCTTACAGTTGTTCTGCTTCATGCCCGACCAGGAGTTTTTTTCCTTTTCTTCAAATCATTACCAATCATTATGTTGTATGCAGACAAACTATGCAGTATCGCCACAAATTACACTGTGGGCCTCTCCGGTTTCTGTGCTTGTCTTTTTTAATACGAACTATAAACCTTGTGTTTCTGTGCAGCTGAGGAGGAGCCAGAGAGCGAGGACACCAAGGGGCCTGTGGTGTGCTGGGAGAGTCCTTCGCTGCCAGACTTGGACTGTGACGAAAAGCCTGGGTGGATCTCCAGCAGCAGCCTGGCAGGAGAGCTGATCCAGGCCGGCCCACAGAAGGCCTGAACGCAGCCCACACACCAGCACACCCTCCCACAGCGCGGACGGGAAACGGAAAGCAGCCAGAGGGAGGCCGAGGAGGAGGAGGAGGAGGAAGGAGATAGTCAGAGACACTGCACGTGACGGTGACGAGGACACAGAACTGTCGATGGACCGAGATGAGACGAGCGACGTGGGGAGGAGGGAGAAAGAAAAAAGAAAAAAAAAAAGAAAGAGCGCCTGAGAGCACAGCCAGATGGAGGGAAAACACAAAGACAGAAACTATATCCCACTGGAGGGAAGACTCTCGTAAAAAGATCAAAAACTCTTTAGATGACTTATTTATTTTTTTGTAGTAGTAAAATATTATTTCATATGAATGTATCTGTTTTAAAGAAAAAAAGTTTGTCTTTTATATTATTTATGCCTTTCGGATGAGAAATACTTTTTATTTTTTGTCGTCGTTGTCCCTCTGTGTTCCACTCGACGGTGGAGATTAGCAATTGTCTGTGTAAAGTTTTGTAATAATATAAAGAGAAGATATGGGAGAGTCGACGACAACTGTTCTTCAATGTCTTCCCTCCGCGCCTCGGTGTGCAGCGCCCGATGAGTGATTGCCATAGTGAATTTCCCAGCCTCGATCCAAAACCCCATCGATATTTCTGGCAGGCCTTTGATGTGGCTCAGCGATGGGCTGTTCCACTGCAGTGACCCCTGAACGGGGTGAACACTCCCTTCACTGTTCGCATTAAGGCTGCCGCTCTTTGCTTCACTGAATACTTGATAGCTCATCGCTTTGCGGAAAAATGCACCGTTGCTTCAAGGGCGCTGTTGACCTACTGGCCCCAATCTGTTAGAGAAGTGGAGGAGTTGCATTAAAACAGAAAAGCGAGGTGTGAGCAGAACCTCTCATACGAATCCTAAAAAAACAAAAACTGCTTTGATGCAAGTGACAGAACACTTCCTGATGCTGACAGATTGAACAGTGTGTAGCTGCATGCGAAAGCAAAGTCAAACACAAACATTATTATAAACAGCAGACAACACTTAATGCAAATGGAAAGTTCACCAAAAGTTAATGTTTTTTTAATGCACCCTTTTTTTACTGGACAGAGAAAGATGATCTGAATGATATCAGTTAAAATAATATATAAAGAAGGCCCTGTTTTGGGGAAATGCTTTTGAGATTGTAGAGCAAAATCTGAAGTAATCCAAGCAGCACAAACACTTCTTTCACCTCCCTTGAGTTGGTTTACAAGCAGAATGCAAAAAAAGTGAAATAAGAAATCACAACTATTTGTAATTTGAGTGAACTGACCCTTTAAGGTAGAGCAGTGGTTAGCATCGCTGCCTCGCAGCAAGAAGGTCGCTGGTTTGCGTCCCGTGTCCCGCGTCCCGGGATCTTTCTGCGTGGAGTTTGCATGTTCTCCCCGTGCAGCGTGGGTTCTCTCCGGGTTCTCCGGTTTCCTCCCACACAGTCCAAAAACATGTTGAGGTTAATTGGTGATTCTAAATTGTCCGTAGGTGTGAATGTGAGTGTGCTTGGTTGTCTGTCTCTAAGTGTAGCCCTGTGATAGACTGGTGACCTGTCCAGGGTGTCCCCTGCCTTTGCCGGAAGTCAGCTGGGATAGGCTCCAGCCCCCCACAACCCTAGTGAGGATTAACCGGTGTACAGATAATGAATGGATGGACAACCCTTTAAGCATCTACTACTCTTTTCAGGTTAATAGAAGCTTCTGATATCAAGAAATCCTGATTTTTTATTTTTTTTTGGATACCAGAAGCTTCCACTGACATGCAAAGCTGTGTAATGCAGCTTTGATATCTCAGTGTAAAGAGCAAAATCCACAGAGGTACAATAGAAATGGAGGGAAGATGAGCATCCGTGTGACAATGCTGCAGATAAGTCATTCATAAAACACTTGTAGTGCCCTCGTCTCAGGTTTCACCTTGTGTCGGCCAAACCCATTATCTGAAAGCTTAACCCTCTCTATTGGTTTTAGAATAATCTCCACGGTTGTGCCGCCTGATTGGACTTGATAGGATTGCAGCGGGCAGATGACAGGGCTGGCCGGGCTTCACTGAGGATGACTGCGGTGCAGCCTTTTCCATGCTTGGTGCCTGTCTGCCTGTGTTTTTTGCCAGAGTGGGCTGCCAGTCCTCAGGCCCCGGCTCGCCTGGCATCTCTCCTCCCCTCGGATGGTATATGGGATATTCCTGGCACCCAGAGTTGCCCGCCTTGCTGCTGAGGCGTGGCACAAGCCTCTTCCGGCTGTTATTTTTAGCCGCGATGGAGGCTGTAGTTGTGCCACTGAGGCCGGCGGCGTTCGTTAGATTCACATGACTTAAGCTTTTCCCAGAAACAACCCCGCCTCGGTTTTGCAACCCTCTTTAGTGTTGTTGGATGCGCGCTGATTTGTTGTTTGTTTGAGGTGTTAAACCCAAAGAAAAAAGTGACTCATGCGCACTGAGTAATGGGAAGAAGTGGCCATTCTGTGCACGGTCTCATTAAGTTTATTTCCAACCTCATTCAAGGGTCCATTCTGAGTCCCGTCGCTGCTGTTTTGGAAGCAAAAGGGGAGCGAAACAATGGGTCGGAAATGAAGCTGGAAATGAAAGAGAAATGGTCTGGGGAGGGAGAGGGGATGCTGACAGATGCAGCCGGGGCTGATGAGGAGAAGATAAGGGCAGGGTTGTCTCCAAATGAGCTGCTTCTCCATCTCCCACGTCTGTCAGTCGGCACTCTCCCTCGGCCCTGCCCTGCACCCTCTACCCACACAGCTACACCCCTTCATTAAGGAGCCCATGGGAACAAGAAAGCTCATTGTCTGCCCTGGAATTTTTGCCCCCTTGCTGCAGAGCCGACCTGTTAACGCCGGTCCCTCTTCCCTCCGCCCACCATTCTTCCTCTCTCCAGCACACCCTGAATGAATGCAATTCTTATGAATCGGGCAGTGTGCTGTTAACTGGCTCCATTTTTTTTTTTTTTTTT